CGCACTCATATTCCAAGTCTTGTTGGCCCGTATCTTCCGGAAAAGTCGTGAATGCTGATTTTAAGGGCCTAAACAATATTTTTTCACAAAAATAACTCATAGGTCATGGCTTATAGCTTTGAGTTTTGGTTGTTGGAACGTTTTAAATCGAATTAGGTCCAAACAACTCAAACCTAAACCAATAGTTTTTCTTCCGCTTTTATCGCACTTACACTCGTTTCATGTAATCCAAGTCCAGTTGGCTCGTATCTTCTTGAGAAACTATGAATACCGATTTTGAAGGCCTAAACCGTATTTTTTCATCAAAATAACTCATAGGTGAAGGCTTATTGCGATGTGTTTTTGTCGCTAGCTCGTTTCACATCGAAATAGGTCTAAACAGACTCAAACCTAGCATAATAGTTTTTCATCAATTTTTATCGCACTCACACCGTTTCACGTATTTCAAGTCTAGTTGGCCCATATCTTCTTGAAAAACATTAAATGTTAATTTTGAGGGCCAAAACTCGCATTTTTTCACTAAAATATCTCATAGGTCATGGCTTATAGCGATTAGTTTTGGTCGTTGGCTCGTTTCGAATCGAAATAGGTCCAAACAGACTCAAACCTAGCCCGATATTTTTCATCAATTTTTATCGCACTCACATCATTTCACATATTCTAAGTCCAGTTGGCCCATATCTTCTTGAAAAACTATGAAGGTCGATTTTGAGGGCCTAAATTATATTTTTTTTACAAAAATCACTCATAGGTCATGGCTTATAGCGAATAGTTTGGATCGTTGGCCTGTTTCGCATCCAAATAAGTCCAAATAGCTCAAACCTAACCTAATTGTTTTTTATCAATTTTTATTGCACTTATACCGTTTCACTTATTCCAAGTCTAGTTAGCCCGTATCTTTTTTAAAAACTATGAAGGCTGATTTTGAGGACCTAAATTATTTTTTTTGTTACCAAAATCACTTATAGGTCATTGCATATAGCGATTAGTTTTGATCGTTCGCCCTTTTCGCTTCGAAATAAGTCCAAACAACTTCAACCTAGCCAAAAAGTTTTTCGTCGGTTTGTATCACACTCATACTTTTTCATGTATTCCAAGTCTTGTTGTCCCATAGCTTCTAGAAAAGCTATGAAGGCTGATTTTAAGGGCCTAAACAATAATTTTGTCACAAAAATCACTCATAGATCATGGCTTATAGCGATGAGTTTTGATCGTTGGCCCGTTTCGCATCGAACTATTTCCAAACGAGCTTAAACCTAGCCCAATAGTTTTTCATCAACTTTTATCACAGTCATAACATTTCACCTATTCCAAGTTCAATTGGCTCGTATCTTCTTAAAAAACTTATAATGCTGATTTTGAGGGCCTAAACTACATTTTTTCACCAAAATAACTCATAGGTATGGCTTATAGCGATGAGTTTTGGTCGTTGACTCGTTTCACATCAAAATAGGTCAAAACACCTCAAACCTAGCTCGATAGTTTTTCATCAATTTTTATCGAACTCATACCGTTTCATTTATTCCAAGTCCAGGTTGGCCCGTATCTTCTTGAAAAACTATGAAGGCTGATTTTCAAGGCCTAAATTATATTTTTTCTTTATCAAAATCACTCATAGGTCATGGCTTATATCGATTAAGTTTGATCGTTGGTCCGTTTCGTATTGAATTAGGTCCAAACAGACTCAAACGTAGCTCGAACTTTTTTTGTCACTTTTTATCGCACTCACATCATTTCACATATTCCAAGTCTAGTTGGCCCGTATCTTCTTGAAAAATTATGAAGGCTGATTTTGAGGGCGTAAACTATATTTTTTGACAAAAATAACTTATAGGTCATGGCTTATAGCGATGAGTTGTGTTCGTTGGCCCGTTTCGCATCGAACTAAGTCCAAATAGCGTAAACTTAGATAAAACTTTTTCGTTTGTTTTTATCGTACTCACACCTTTTCACGTATTCCAAGTCTTGTTGGCCCGTATATTCTTAGAAAACTTTAAAGGTTGATTTTAAGTGCTAAACTCCATTTTTTCACCAAAATAACTCATAGGTCATGGCTTATGGCTATGAGTTTTGGTCGTAGGCCCATTTTGCATCGAAATAAGTCCAAACGAGCTCAAACCTAGCTTGATAGTTTTTCTTCTACTTTTATCGCAATCACATCGTCTCACGTAATCCAAGTCTAGTTGGTCCGTATCTTCTTGAAAAACTATGAATGCTGATTTTGAGGGCTTAAACTCGTATTTTTTCATTAAAATAACTCATAGGTCATGACTTATAGTGATGAGTTTTGGTCGATAGCCCGTTTCGCATCGAAATAGATCCAAACAGACTTAAACCTAGCATAATAGTTTTTCATCAATTTTTATCACACTCCACTCGTTTCACGTATTCCAAGTCCAGGTTGGCTCGTATCTTCTTGAAAAATCATGAATGCTTATTTTGATGGTCTAAACTACATTTTCCGACAAAAATACTCTTAGGTCATGGCTTATAGCTCGATTTTTGGTCGTTGGCTCGTTTTGCATCGAAATAGGTCCAAACAACTCAAACCTAGGTCGATAGTTTTTCATCATCTTTTTTTATCGAACTCGGACCGTTTCACGTATTCCAAGTCCAGTTGGCCCGTATCTTCTTGAAGAACCGTGAATATTGATTTGAAGGGCCTAAACCGCATTTTTGCACCAAAATAACTCATAGGTCATGGCTTATAGCGATGAGTTTTGGTCGTTGGCCCGTTTCTCTTCGAAATAGGTCCAAACGAGCTCAAACCTAACCCGATAGTTTTTCATCAATTTTTATCGCACTCACACTCGTTTCACGTATTCCAAGTCTAGTTGGCTTCGTATCTTCTTGAAAAATGATGAAGGCTGATTTTTAGGGCCTAAATTATTTTTTTTTACCAAAATAACTCATAAGTCATGGCTTATAGTGATGAGTATTGATCGTTGGCCCGTTTCGTATCGAAATAGGCCCAAATAGCTCAAACCTAGCCTTGTCAAGCCAACTATTATGGCTAATAATTTTGAGATAAAGCTAAACATCATTCAAATGGTGTAATAGTTTATGCGGTTTGATGGGTTGTAAGATAAAGACCCGAATGTTCACTTGGCCAACTTCTTGGAAATCGCGACACATTCAAGATTAATGGGACGACGAGATGATGCTATCGGAATGAGACTCGTTTCCATTCTCATTGAGGAGTAGAGCTAAGCGAGTGGTTAAACTCTCTACCTATAGGATCTATCACCACTTAGAACCAAATGGTAAAGAAGTTCCTAGCAAAATACTTTCCACCTATAAAGACTGTGAAACTTAGGAATGATATTTCCTCATTTGCATAGATTGAATCGGAGAAATTTTATGACACTTGGGAGCGGTTTAAGGATTTTTTGAGGATATGTCAACACCATGGCCTTCCTACATGGGTGTAGGTTCGGACTTTCTACAATGGACTAAATCTAGCTACTAGGCAGATGATAGATGCAACAACTAGAGGCACTCTAAATGACAAAACACACGAAACGACTCGAGAATTGATAGAGCGGATGGCTTTGAACACTTACTAGTGGAGCACAACTAGAACAAAACTAAATAAACCAGCAGGTGTTTATAATGTACATATGGTTACAACTTTGGCGACTCGAGTGGAGGCTGCGAGTAAGAAGATCGATGGTCTATTAGTAGTGCGATGAGCTGGTTCAAGTTATGTAGTGTGAGTTGTATGGAGGGGACTTATAAGCCAAGATTGCAAAGAGATAGTTAATTACATGGATAATGCTCCTCATTCTCAAAATAACCCATACAACAATGTTTACAATCTTGGGTGGATAAATCACCCCAATTTCTCTTGAGGAAGTCAAGGATGGCAAAGATAGAATCATCCATTAGGATTCTAGTAGTAAACTCATCTCGGGAAAAGAAACCCAGTCCGGAAGAGCTTATGACTAAGTTCATTCAAGCATTTGAATCTCATTTTCTAGCATCCAAAATAGCATTGAGAAACCAAGAGGCTTCTATCCATAATCTTGAGAAACAAATTAGGCAACTGGCCAAGTCCTTTTCGAGAGACAACAAGGTAGTCACGTACGGTAATACCGAGACTAATCCCGAGAGAACATGTCAAGGCGAGTGTCTCTTAGAAGTGGAAAGGAATTGAGGGTGGAGGATAAGAAAGGTAAGGAAGAAAAAATAGTTGAAAAGGGTAAAGAGTAGGAAAAAGTTAACAAGCAACCTCAACCAGAGTGAAAGAGTCCAAGCCTACCATTTCATATCCTGCAAAGTCGTAGAAGGACTAAATGGATGAACGAGTTTGATAAATTTCTTGAACTTTTTAAATAACTACATATAAATATACCTTTTGTTGAGGCTCTTTCACGGATGCAAAAGTATGCTAGATTTTTTAGGAAACTTCTTTCAAACAAGAGGAAGCTAGAAGAGCTACTAATAGTGGCATTGAGTGAGGATGCTCGCTATCCCGCAAAACGAGCTACCTCAAAAATTACAAGACCCAAGGAGTTTTACTATCCTTTGCTCGTTTGTTAATTTGTTAGCTGAAAAGGCATTAACCGATCTTAGGGTGAGTATGAATTTAATTCCTTATAAAATGTTGAAGAAACTAGGGTTAGGAGAACCTAAACCAATAAGAATAAGCTTACAATTAGCGAGACAAATCTATTAAATATCCTAGAGGTAAAATTGAAGATGTGTTGGTTAAGGTAGATAAATTTATTTTCCCGATTAACTTTGTTATTCTTGACATGGATGAGCATGTAAAAGTACCTTTAATCCTAGGATGACCATTTTTGGCTACTCGCTAGAGCCATTATTGATGTTAGTGATGGTAAACTTGTTCTTAGGGTTAGGGATGAAGAGGTAACTTTTCTTATATCTAAATCTATGACACTCCCTTGAACATGATCAAAAATGTTATTTTATTGATGTTGTTGATACTTGCAATTTTAGAATTTGTGCAAGAAATTATGTATGATGACCCATTGGAGTTGTATATTATTCAAGGTGAGGAAGATGATGGAGATGACCCCATTACGATTGAGCAAGTACCCCGTCTAGAGGCTACTAAGTTTATGGTTCGGAATAAGGAGTTTAAGGAGATTGACAGAGGTAAAGAAAAGAGACTAAAACCCTCCATTGAGGACCCACCTAACTTGGAATTGAAAACTTTATCGAACACTTGGAGTATGCATTTCTTAAAAAAGATTCAAAGTTACCAATAATAATTTCTTCCAAGCTAAAAGTGGACCAAAAAGAAAAGCTATTAAATGTTCTTAGAGATCATAAGAGGGCTATTGCTTGGAAAATTTTAGACATTAGAGGAATTAGCCTCTCTTTTTGCACTCATAAAATTTTGATGGAGGATGATTTTAAGTTAGTGGTGCAATCTCAAAGGAGGCTTAATCCAAATATGAAGGAAGTTATAAAAGGTGAGGTAATTAAACTTCTTGATGCAAGAGTGATTTACCCTATTTCTAACAATTCTTAAGTGAGCCATGTGTAGGTTGGTCTAAAGAAAGGAGGGATGACAATGGTCCTGAATCAAAAGAACGAGCTGATTCCAACAAGAACAATCACCGAGTGGAGAGTGTGTATTGACTACGTAAAGCTGAATGATGCCACTTAGAAGGACCACTTTCCCTCCCATTTGTTGATCGGATGCTAAAGTGACTAACAGGACATATATATTACTACTTCTTAGATGGTCTTTTAGGGTTACTTTTAGATTCCTATAGCCCCAAAAGACCAAAAAAAGACTACATTCACATGTCCCTATGGTATGTTCGCCTACAAGAGGATACCTTATGAAAGATCGAGCGAGAGAGAGGGACATAGGAGGAGCGTGAGGGAGAGAGGAGTAAGAGAGAGGGACATTGGGTTAGGGAGGGAGAGGGGAGATAGGAGAGAGAGGGAGAGGGAGAAAGGGAGAGAGGGAAAGGGAAAGCAAAGAAGAGAGTATATAGGGAGAGAGAAAGAGAGAGGGAAGGAGAGTGGGAGAATGAGGGAGGGAGAAAGAGATGAAGAGAGAGGATGAGGTAGATATGGAAAGAGAAAGGAAGAGATTGAGAGGGAGAAGGAGTGATAGGGAGAGAGAGATATATAGAGAGAGGGAAAAAAGGAGAGAGGTAAGGAGAGAGAGAGAGAAAGAGGGAGAGGATGTGAGAAAATGAGAGAGAGAAAGAGAGTAAAAGAGAGAGAGAGAGAAAAGGGGAGAGAGAGGTCGATAGAGAAGGAGAGATGGATATAGAGAGAGGAAGGAAAAGAGGGAGAGAGAAGGAGCGAGAGGGGGAGAGAGAGAGAGGAAGAGAGGAAGAGAGGAAGAGGGGGAGATAAAGATGGAATCAGAGAGAGGGAGAAAAAGAGGGAGGTAAAAAGGGAGAGAGAGGATGGGAGAGAGAGAGCAAGAGAGGGAGGAAGGGAGGGAAAGAGGAAGAGGGATAAGGAAGGAGGGAGAGGGGGAGAGGGAGAGGGAGGGAGTAATGGATAGGGAGAGGAATATAGGGAGGGAGAGAGTGAGAGAGAGATAAAAAAGGAGAGAGAGAGAGAGAGGGAGATAGGGGGAGGGAGAGAGAGATGAGAGAGAGAGAGGCAGATAGAGAGAGGAAGAGAGGAAGAGAGTGAGAGAGAGAGAATAGAGGGAAAGTGGGAGATAGAGAGGGAGAGGGAGAAAGGGAGAGAGAGGAAGGAATAGAGAAGGGAGAGAGAGGTAGAGGGAGAAAAGTAGAGAGAGAGAGGGGGAGAGAGGGAGGAAGATAGAGGGAGAAAAAGTGAGAGGGAGAGGGGGATAGAGAGAGATAGAGAGGAAGAGAGAATGAGAGGGAGAGGGAGAGAGAGCAAGAGAGGAAGATAAAGAGAGGCCAAGAGAGATATAGAAAGGGAGAGAAAGGGAGAGTAGGGGAGAGGGAAAGAGAGGGAGATAAGAGAAAAAAAGGAGGGGGAGAGAGATAGAGAGGGAGAGAGAGGGAGAAAGAGAGAGGGGGAGAAAGAGAGGGTGAAAGAGATGGGAAGAGGTAGGGGAGGAATAGATAGGGAGAAGGAGGTAGAGATGGAGAGGAAGGAACAAAGGGAGAGAGGGAAGAGAGACAGAGAGGGAAGGAGAGAGAGAAAGGAGAGGGAGAGAGGGAGAGAGGGAGAGAGGGAGTGAGAAAGAGAGTGGGGGAAATAGAAAGAGAGAGGGAAGAGAGAAGGAGAGAGATAGAGAAAGAAGAAGGGAGGCAGGTAGTGAAAGAGAGAGATAGAGAGGGTGAGATAGCAAAGGAGAGGGAGAGAGGGAGAGAGATGGTGAGAGAGGGAGAGGGAGAGAGATAGGGAAGGAGAGGAAAGGAGAGAGGGAGAGAGGTGAAAGGGAAGGAGAGGGAGGGAAAAGGATAGAGAGAAAGGAGGAGGGAGAATGAGAGAGAGAAATAAGGAGAGAAAGGGAGAGAGAGGAAGAGGTACATAGAGAGGGGAAGATGGATATAAGGGGAGAGAGAGGAGAAAGGGAGATGGAGAGAGTTAGACGGAGGGATAGAGACAAGACATAGAGAGGGAGAGAGAGAAAGAAAGAGAGAAAGGGAGAGTGAGGGAGAGAGGGAGAGGGAGAGGGAGAGGGAGAGGGAGAGATAGAGGGGAGAGAGATGAAGAGAGAAAGAGGAAACAGAGAGGGAGGTAGAAGAGGAGACGAGAGGGATGATAATAGAGAGAGCGAGGAGAGAGATGGCTAAATAAAGAAAGAGACAGGGAGAGAGAAGGTAAGATAAAGATGAAAAGAGAGGGGAAGGGGTAGAGAGAAGGAGATAGAGGTAGAGAGAGAGAGAGGTAGATACAGGGAGGGAAAGAGTGGGAGGGACAGAGAGAGGGAAGGAGAGAGAAAGAGATGGAAGGAGATTGAAGAGAGAGAGATGGAGAAAGGGAGGGAGAGGGAAAGAGAAAGGGAGAGAGAGGTGAAAAAGGAGAGAATAGGAGAGAGAGTAAGAGGGAGGGCGCAAGAGGCAAAAAGAGGGGGAGATAGGGAGAGGGAAAAATAGGGTGAGAGAGAGATAGAGGGGGAGAGAGAGAGGAAAGCAAGAAGAAGAGGGAGATAGACAGAGAGAGGGAAAGAGAGATAGAGGGATAGACAGATAGGGAAAGGAAGGGAGAGAGTGAGAGAAAGGAGAGAGAGATGAATGGGGATAGAGAGAGAGGGAGAGGGAGAGAGGAAGAGAGGGAGATGGGTAGGAGAGATAGAGATAGAGAGAGGGTGAGGAAAAGAGAGAGAGAGAGAGGGAGAGGGAGGGTTTAGGTGAGCAAAAGAGAGATAGAGAGGGAGAGGGAGAGGGAGAGGGATAGGAGATGGAAAGAGGAAGAGAGGGTGGGGGAGACAAAAATGGGAGAGAGGAAGAGAGAGTGAGAGATGGAGGGGAAAGAAAGTGAATGAGTGAGAGGGATAGAGGGAGAGAGAAAAGGAGAAGGAGAGAGTGAGGGAGAAACAAAGAGGGAGAAAGACAGGGAGAGAGGGGGAGAGGGAGGGGGAGAGGGAGGAGGAGAGAGGGAGAGTGAGGAGGGGAGAGAGAGGGGGAGAGAAAGGGTAGGTGTAAGAGTGAGAGAGGGAGAAAGAGAGAGGAAGAGAGAGGGAAGAAGAAGGAGATAGGGGGAGAGTGAGTGGGTGACAGAGGGATGAAGAGAGAGAGGAAGAGGGAGAAAGAGGTAAAGGGAGAGAGATAGAGGGAGGGAATGGAAGAAGGAGAGATAAAGATAGGTAGAGCGGGAGAGAGAGAGGGATAAGGAGGTAGAGAGAGAAAAGGATAAAAGGAGAGGAAGGGAGTGGAAGAAGGAGAGATAAAGATAGGTAGAGGGGGAGAGAGAGAGGGATAAGGAGGTAGAGAGAGAAAAGGATAAAAGGAGAGAAAGGGAAAAGAGTGAGAGGGAGAAGGAGTGGGGAGAGAGAAGGAGAGTGAGGGAGAGTGGTGGAGAGAGAAAATGATAGGGCGAAGAGAGAGTGGGAGAGGGAGGTAGAAAAGGAATGAGGGAGAGAAAGAGAGAGGGAGAGTGAGGGAGCAATAAAAAGAGAAGGAAAGAGTGAAAGAGAGAGAGATGGAGAAGGAGAGTGAGAGATCGGGAGGGAGAGGGAGAGAGAGAGAGGGAGAGAGAGGGGTAGGAGAGATAGAGGGAGTGAGGACATGAAAAATTAGCATGTCTTTTTTCCTTTAAATGGACAATCTTAAGGAAAATTTTTTGAGTGATTGTCAAACTACGAGGTCTTCCTTCCATTAGAAAGGGACAAAGCATCAAATTGTTTCATGTAGTAAGGACATGTTAATTTTTCCTACAATACTCAAACCGGATAGTATTAAATATGTAGAAAGTCACCGATAGTCCACATCACTATGACTCTAAGTATAAGATTCTACATGAGAAAGACATTATGTAATACTCGATACTAGCCCATTCCCCTCTCTCTCTCTCCTACTCTCTCCCTCTCTATCCCTCTCTCTTATTCTCGTCCCTCTCTTTTCTCGCCTCTCCCTAACTCGTTCCCTCTCCCTCTCTCTATCCATCCCCCTCTCCCTCTCTCTCTCCCTCTCTCTCTTCCTATCTCTCTCCCTCCCTCTCTCCCCCTACTTTATCTCTCTACCCGTTACTCTCTCCTTTCATCTCTCACCCTCTCCCTCCCTCCTCTCTCCCTTCCCTCTCTCCCTCTCTCCACCTATCATTCCTTCTATCCCTCTATCTCCCCCTCTCTCTTTCTCTCTTTTCCCTTTTTCTTTATCACCCTCTCTCCCTCCCTCTCCATCTCTTTATCCTTCTCTCTCCTTCTCACTCTTCCTCTCTCTCTCCTTTTTTCTCTCCCTCCCTCTCCCTCCCCCTCTTCCTCTCTCCTTGCCCCCTATCTTTCCGGTCTCTCTCTCTCTCCTTGTCTCCCACTCTATCTCACTCTCTCTCCCCATCTCTACCTCCCTCTCTCCCTCTCTATCCCTCTCTCGCCTAAACCCCTTCTCTCTCTCGTCTCTCTCTTTGCCTCTATCTTTCCCATCTCTCTCCTTCTCTTGCTTCCTCTCTTGCCCTCTCCACCTCTATATCCCTCCCTCTCTCTCCATCACTCTCTCCCTCTCCCTTGCCCTCTCACCCTTACTCCTCCTCTCTCCCTCCCTCCCACCCTTTCTCTCCCCTTATCCCTCCCTCCCCCTCTCCCTCTCTCTCCATTTGTCCCTCCCTCCCTCGCTCTC